ACAAACATTTAAGCCACCAAACACTTAAGAAAGCGAATGAGATAACTATTCTTGAGAATTGGTTGCTAAGAAAAAAGAAAAATACAAAAAAGTTTGAATAGTATGATTTGCAGTGATGATAGAAGTCGTACTTCCAACCTTTGTGTTAGAAAGAGAAACTAAAAGAAAGTGATGGGTGCAACATCACGAGAAATTAAGAATGTTGCACATTTCAATAATAGAATGGGATGGTCTTATGAAAGTATTCAAGAACTATTTCATTCACATCCGCATGAAAGTTATGCAAAATAAATTCAACTTGACTCAAGGATTAAAGATAATCATATAATATGAAGCAATATTCACATCACAATGCAGCTATACTCCTCATTTTGTTAATATCTAGAAGAGATGTCACTGATTTTCAAGAGATTTAAGAAACCAATTGAGATTAGTTTTGCCTCCTTTTGATATCAAAAAATTCCTAGATTTGATAGAAAGAAAGTGAAAAGTTGGGCATGGGTTGAATTGCTCAAAACAAAGCTAAGAACAAATTCTATTTAAAACTAATTTAACAAAGGAGATGAAATAAGTAAAAGCATATAAAAACTCAAAAGCTATTATGTCAGAAGTGTGAAAATAGAAATTTTGGGCAATGTTTTTTTGGTCATGAAAATTACTTTTTGATATAAAAAGTTGGGTACCACAAGAAAGAATGTCCAAAGAAAAAATAACAAGTCACAAGTGTATCAAGAGACAAACTCAACGAAAAAAATTCTTAACGGACAACAGCAGGTCAAGCAAGACTTAATTTCATGGAAAATTATATATGTGTGAAAAAATAAACATTAAAACAAAGAACAACAAACCAATAAAAACAAGAGCTTCTTGCCATCACACCATGAGGGACTAAATAAACAGAAGAATTGGTTGCAAATATACTTTTAATTTTTCAGTTAATTTGGTATAGTCCTATTTAATTATGGTGCTTCAAATTTGTTTATTTGTTAAGAGTTTGCTGCCAATTTATCAGTTAAGATTATATGTTTTGTACCAAAATAGTGTTATGTTCATATTTCGAGATAATATGTACACAAATAGAAATGTTTTGTGAAAGTTGATATTAAAGGAAAAGAATTGAAAACATAATGAATTCAATACGTATCAAGTTTTTTTTTTTTTTTTGAATTAGCTATACACTTAGCTACAATTAAATATTGGAAGAAAAGAATTAAATTTGAATTGCCTGATGAAAAACCATTGTATTTTTCTTGCAATAAGAATGTAATGTCTTCTTTAGCGCAGTAAAGATTGTTCAATAGACGAGAAGTGATGGATCAGTGTTCTTGTCAACGAAAAAGGCAATGAATAAATATGTTTCAAAATAAATAATATTCTAGTTATAGCATAATTATTTGATGTGTTTTTGGAGGAATTATCTGGCTGCCACTTGAAAGAGAAGTTGAATTGGTATCAGCAATATTTAGTTCTCCTTATAAAAGTGCTCTTAAAGAATTGCAAGGATTTAAATATTAATTGCAAATATTGATTGATAAAGGATTTACTAAAAAAAAAGTAATTCAGCTTGGAGTGCACCTGTGTTCTTTGTTAAAAACGATGGATCAAAGATGATGTGGATCAATTATAAAAAGTTCAATAAAGTAACTAATAAGAACAAATATTCATCACCATAGATTAATGCTTTAATTGATCAATTAGAATGTGCTACTATGTTTTCTAGAATTTATTTGAGAAGAATATATTATAAACTTAGAGTTAAGTAAACACATATAATCGAGAAAACTTTTGGAAATATGGCTATTATAATTTCCTAAAAATGTCTTTTGGTTTAATAAAGGCTACTATAATTTATACTGGTTTAATAAATCAAAATTTCAAGCCAAATATAAATTAGTTTGTGATTATGTTCATTAAAAACATTTTATGATATTATAAAACTGATAAAAATCATGTTGAACATTTAAAAGAATTAAATATTGTGGAACAATTAGTTGGTTCGAAAATTTTCAAAATGTCATTTTTTGGGCACATAATGAATGGTGAAAAAGCTTCAATGTATCCTCATAAAATGAAAGCAATATTAGAATGACCCTCATCAAAGAATATTACAGAGGAGCATAATATACTACTCAAAAATAAGACGTAGGTAATTTAAATATGTCAGCTCGGATTACCTAGATGGATATTATAAGAGTTTTATTGTCTTTAGCATCTATGAATTATAGTAATTTGATGATGACAAAAATTAACACCTTCATTCAAATCTCAAGGAAAAGATTTATACAAAAATCCTATAAGGTTTAGAATAAATTTTGCTACTAATCAAGTATGTCAATTGAAGAATACCTTGTATGGGTTAAATTAGTCTCCAAGTATATTATTTGAAAGATTTGCAATGGAGAAGCTAACCATAGGGTACAAACAAAATAACTATCATGCATTATACATTAAATGGTAAAACTTAAGAAGGAGTTACAATTTTTGTGTATGCTGATGATATAAATGTAATTATGAATGATGAAGAGAAAAATAAATTTTATGACAATGTTTAGCCTAAGGATTTGAGACTAAAGAGCTAAGAAAATCAAAGTACTTCCTAAGGATTGCATTCACGCACTTCAAGCAAAGAATCATCATCTCTCCACAAAAATATAGCACCAACCACCTAAAAAATTGAGAACACTAGCTTGAAATAAGTAGATACAGCAATAGAAAAGAACTTCATTTGAGAGAAACATATGCCTAATACTTGAGGCATATATAACTCTCAAAAGGAGATCAACTTCAATATATTGCTTTTTCTTAGGAAACCTTGAAATATGGTTGAAATAAAAAAACAAAGATTGTTTCAAGTGGCTTCAGGTATTTGCAAACTATTGTGCAAAAAATAGCTTAGGCGGATCTGAATATTTAATGGGATATCCTGATAAAATTTTTATTGTGATTACAAGTTTGCAATCGTCATAGCTCATAATTCAGTGCAGCATAATCAAACAAAGCATATAGAGATAAATTGACACTCCATTAAAGAAAATCTAGATAGTGACTTTTTTTGTGCATCTTTCAAATCTTGTGATTCAAACCTTACAAAAGTGGTTACCAATGGACCAAGCAATGGGGAGCAGGGGTGTAAATGAGCAGAACTTGAGCAAAAGCCCAAGAATGTATTTGGTCATTTGAAAAAAATTTTGTTCGTGAGCGGCTCATGTTCGAAATAGCTCATAAATAGCCTATTCGTGTTCCGCTCGAAGCAAACTTATTTTATCGAATCAAGCACGTGTTCGAATCAAGCCCCGTGTTCAAGCTCCATTTTCGGCTCGAGTTAAATTTCAAAAATTATTTTTTAATATTAAAATTTTCAAAAGAACAAAAAAATATATAAATTTTTTTCTTAGCAGATTTTACAAACGCTAAATTACGCAAAAGCTAAAATTTTCCGATTTCCTCCCTTTCGTTTTTACATTTATAGTAGATTCTTAATGAAGAGACAACTAAGAGGTCCCAGGCCACTGACGGGTGAGATTACATATGTACCACGAATTTTTTATGTTAATGAAGAGACAAAACTAAGAGGTCCCAGGCCACTGACGGGTGAGATTACATATGTACCACGAATTTTTTATGTATTAACATAAGGAACACCGCAACAGCATGGCCACTGGGTCGTGGCCAAGCGGCCATCAACTGAAGTTTTGGGAGAAAGTTTGTATCCATTTACATAGATAACATCTCATCAATTCTCATTCATTTATATATCCAACTTCTATTTTTTTCTTTTGTTTAAGATGGGGCATTTACATGCATACCACCCAATACTTATGTATTTACATTTTGTAAATCTAAATTTTATTTTTTATATTTATATAAATCAATCTTTGATATCATATCAAATATATCACTAATTTAAGTTTTATATATTATTTATTTCGAGCCAAAACGAGTCAAGCACGAACAAACGAACTTTTGTTTGTGTTCAACTCATTTAAAAATCGAGCTCAAAAAATTATTCAAGTTTGACTCGCTTGCTTAAAGAATAAATCAAACATGAGTTATTTAACGATTCAAACACAAGCTTTTTGACAGCCTTATAGGGGAGTTTCAAATAATTGTATCAAAGTAGAGAGCAAAAAAAAACCATTCAACAGCTTGAGCGGGAGTGTTTAAATAAATTGGATGTCTCAAATGCCACAAGAAGTTTTAGGGTACCAACATCATATCCATGTACAAGGCCTGTATAAACTAATTTAAATAACCTTGCATATTATGTGCAAATAGTAATTAAGGAAGTTGTTACAATTAAATGTAATTTTTTACAATGGCTGTAATGTCATATATATACATCACGTATTAAAGTAAGTTAGTTTCCATCTCTTTTTCATAAAATAGTACACACATATTAACATGTATCTATAACTATAAATCAATAAGAGAAGAATCAGTTGTTCTTACCATGCTTTTTGAGGTGACAATAAAAGGATTTGTGTGGCAGGGGTACATGTACCACTAAGATATGAGTGTCCAAGGAGCAAAGTGCCAAAATAGTCTCGAACAATTTGTATGGGGCCATTTTAGTCCCCTAGAGTTTATAGAAATATCAAAATAGTCCCCATACTTTTTATATTGGGTCTGAAAAAGTCCCCATACGGGATTATTAAAGCTCACTTTTAAAATAGACGGGGACTATTGGAACACTTTTATAAAACTCTGAAACTAAAACGTCCCTAAGTAAATAGTCGGGGAGTATTTTGGAACTTTACTTGTTGGGTAAGTAGCATAGGCAGTTTATAGCAATCTTCTTTAAAATGTTAACATCACAATAAAAAATTTACCAATCCTTGCCATCAACAAAAAGCATCAACAAGAAGAGTACAAAACACTTTCACAATACAACACAGTAATGGCCTTCCACTTCAAAAGTTTTAGAAGATCATTACGAAAGTTCAAAAATCTTCATTTTCTGAATGGCACAAATAACTTGCATTAAAGAATGTGAGAGTTACCGACTATCAAGTCCCATTCTTTGCTTAAACCTCGAGTTAAAGCTGATTCCCATAGGATCGTCCTTATCATCTCCAAAAAGCCCATTTGATTGGCCAAAGAAAGCATTAAAGACTTCAAAAGGGTCGATCTAACATTTTGAAAGATGACAGTAATAAGTCAAATTATTTTATCATAATAAACATGGTCAGCATCATGATTACAGAAAATTAAGGGGAAAATAAGAAAGAAGTAACAAATATTTTTACCCCTTGTGGGCCAGCATTTGCTCCAGAATAATCTCCCTGCAGACCAGCCTCGCCAAATTGATCATACAATAATCGTTTCTCTTCATCTGATAGCACCTATACAAGGAATTTATCTTTATCTGGCCAAGGACAAAAATGTAAATCAAAGAACCGTAACAAACCGTGCTTTTGGTGACAAGGACGAAGCTCCTAAACCAACAAAGCATTAATCAAATTTCCAATACAATTGGGGGAAAAAAGCAACTCAGATTGTCCTCAATTGTGTGAACTGATGGTGCCATCTCTGCTCAGTGCTTTAAAAGTTCGAATCTAAGAGTGATGCTTTAAAGTGGTCAGCAAGAAGTGCCTTACAACTCTAACCTTAAGGTCGGTAGCACCAACTTCCTACTCATCACTATTTTTATTTTTAAATCTAATTAAGAAACAATTCTACATGTTACGTTATATTGTTGCAAGATAATTCAGGATTGGAATTTTACAGGTGCGATTAAAATGATGTCATAAAGATAGATCACACATAAGATATCCGGATTCTTACGACACAAACCCCTAAATAAGCCAAAAACTTATTTTCTAAAAAGCAAAGAATGAATAAAAGAATTAAAACTCAATGACAATGTAATAAGCAAATAAATCTGAGCCAAAAATTTAAACCATGTGAAGTTAACAAGCAACGATTATATTAATCATCACAGCTAAAGTTTCAATTGTGTTAAATTTGAAAAAAAAAAAAATTAGTTGCACTAGTAAACTAAAAATAAAATATGAAGAAGAAATTACTTAAATTTTTTGGTTAAACAACAGCTAAAAGATTTAAGGAATTATATTATAACATATTCCAGTTAAGTGAAACAGCACTAGTAATTATCAACTAAACTATAAATTCAATTCAACGCTCAGGAACCAAGCATATTGAGATTAGACATCGTTTACTAGAGATCATGCACATAAAAGTGACGTTAAAATTAAATCAATTAGTATTGATCTACAAATTGTTGTTATTTTACAACAACTTTACCTTAAATACATTTTTTACTTTGAGGTATACGCAAGGCATACTAGATCATCATCTTTAAAATCATATGTTTTTTTATTTCAGCCTCATATTTTTTTGTTTTATGTAGCTCTTCTTGATGTTGCAAAAAAGGTAAAAATATATAATTTGTTTTTTTACATTTACTTTCACATGCATAGATTAAGAGAAAATATAGCGGCAGCTTTTAATAATTGCATTAGTAAATGATATCATTATAATATTTTTTAAAAAAAATTAATATAATTCAAAAGTGCGATGGAGAATAATTTTGAAACTTCATCAACACCAATTACCAACATAGGTTTGTCAACATTAAAAAAAAAAATAGAGATTGTCCCATGGACATGACGACTCATCACTTTGATTTTGATAATAACAAACAATGACAAGATATTTTAATATATTTTTTAGTGTTTCATGCAAAAATGAAATATAGCACAGATTACAGATGCATACACTTTTCTCATAATTACAACTAATGCGGAACAACCCCAAATAAGTTATGTACAATAAAGCTAGGGAAACATGTCTTGAGAACAATCTATTGCGGTGTACTAAAACAATTAGCTCATATGAATAGGCTCACTTGTAAATTTTAATTTTCATTATCTAAAAACTATTAAAATTTTATTTTCATAAATTAATGCATAAAATTTTAGTTGTATATATTTTTTTATTTTCTAATTAAAACAATATTAATTATAATAATTAACTATATCACATTACATAATTTACTTTCAATCTAAATTTCAATTTTATTAATTCTTAAAAAATACCATGGTTTTAAAAACCAGAGGACCGGACCCGCTAATTCAACCATAAACCGGTCATTCAATCGGTACGGTCCAAGTTTAGAACTGCTTTTGAATAAAACCAGAATTGAACCGGTCAAAACTGAGGTTAAACCCAACTGATTTTTAAAGAACCAGCCAGCTCAAATATTATTCAATTTTAGGATTTTAATTTTGATCGAATGACCAAAAATAAGATATTTAAATTTAAGAAAAGAGAAAATATAATGTCTTAAATTTTTTTATTTATAATATTATTCGAAAATATAATGTCTTAAACACTTTCATTGCCGATCCCACGCCCGGATGTGAAAAGTGGAGGGTTGTGTTAGATAGTCGACAGCCAGCATAAAACTTGTCAAAATAATCATAACATGAATTCTTTTGATCTTTGTGTAAGTGCTAAGGCGTCCCCTAGAAGCGACGTACTGTATGGCCTGTATATAGTGAAAATTATGCAAGGGTCACTACACTGACGCCTAGATAGTATCAAATAAGCAAAGGTTTTCACAATACAGACGGATGCGGGAAAAGAAGTTAGCATATAAAACTAGTGAAACTAAAATTTAGATATGATCATGGAATATAGGTATTCTCAATAGTAAATTAATTGAATTAGTTGATATTATGTTTCATAGAAAGATTAATACCTTATGTATTCAAGAAATTAAATGGGTGAAAAAAAAGTCTAACGAGATTGATAACTTAGGCTTTAAACTTTGGTATTCTGGTAAGAATTGCACTAGAAATAATGTGGGTGTATTTATAGATAAGAGTTTGAAATATAATGTTGTAAAAGTTAGTTGTTCTTAAGATTATTATTGATACTAAGATTTTTAATTTTAGCTCCTCACGTACGTCCAAATATAGAGAATAAATTTAAATTTTGAAATTAAATTTTGAAATGATTTGTAAATTTTGAAATGATTTGGAAGACTTAATACAAATGATACCTCTTGTAGAAAGAATTTTTATTGGAGGAGATTTGAATGGTCATGTCGGTAGAGTGGTAGATTTCAAAAATAGTAATAGTGGCAATGGTTTTGGAGTGACTAATGAAGAAGGTAGATCTATTTTAAAATTTGTTTTAGCGTATAATTTTGTTATTACTAATACTTTATTTAAGAAAAGAGAAGAGTGTCTTATTACTTATAAGAACGGATCTAATAAAACCCAAATTGATTATTTTCTTGTGAGAATAAGAGATCGTCGAAATCGTAAAGATTGTTAGATCATTCCAAGTGAGGATTTAAGTACCCAACATCAATTATTAGTTTTAGATTTTAAAGTGAAGAACTGTAAAATTAAGAATGTTTGGACTCATCATTGTAAAATTAAATGGAGTAACCTAAAAGATAAATAAAATTATTTTATGAGTAAAATTAGAGATTTCAAAATTTGGATTTTCATGAAGCAAATTCTATGTGGGATGAAGTAACAAACACTATTAAACAAGTAGCAAAAGATGTAGTTAGAGAATCAAAAAAAAATTCTATAAATAAAAATAATTTGTGATGGAATAATAATGTGCAAGAAAAGATAAAATATAAAAAGTTATGTTATAAAAATAGGTTTAATTGTAAAAACTTAGATAAATGGGAAAATTATCAAACGACTCGTAAGAAGTCTAAAAGAGCAATCTGTGACGCGAAAAATTTTGTTTTTAGTGATTTTTATGATATATTAGATACTAAGGAGGGTGAAAAATACTAAGAGAAAAGAAAAGTAAATATTTTACCAAGTCTATTAAAGATGAAAATCAAATAATATTTTTCATAGAAAAAGATATTCAACAAAGGTGAGTGAGTTATTTTAATAAACTTTTTAATGAAGTTTCTGATGAAGTTTCTGACCTTAGTGATCTTAATATCGTTAATAATAATAAAATGTTTCATTTTTACCGTCGCATTAGCAAAAAAGAAATTTTTACCGTCGCATTAGCCCGTCGCATTAGCAAAAAAGAAATTGAGAAGGCTTTAAAGAAAACCAAGGGTGGAAAGTTTGTAGGGTCTGATGATATCCCAATCGAACTTTGGAAAGATTTGGGAGTTTCTTGGATATTAAGCTCTTTAATATCATTTTAAAAAATTTAAAAAATGCTTGAGCAGTGGAGGATGAGTATGTTGGTCCCCATTTTTAAGAATAAAAGGGATGCACAAAAATGTGCAAATTATAGAGGAATTAAGTTGATGTGCATACTTTAAAATTGTGGGAGAGGATAATTGAACATAGGTTAAAACGTATTACAAAGATTTCTCATAATCAATTTGGTTTTATGTCGGGTAGGTCTACCATGGAAGCTATACATTTATTGAGAGGTTTGATTTTTATTGATTTAGAAAAAGCTTATGATAAGGTTACAAGAGAAGTCCCTTGGAGCGTTCTTAAGAAGATAGGTGTTGATATGACTTATATTCGAGTCATTAAAGACATGTATACCAGAGTTGTTACTTGTGTTCGAACTGAAGGAGGATTGACCAAATATTTTCCTATTTCTGTTGTATTACATCAGGGATCGGCTTTAAGCCCATATCTTTTTTTCTTTAGTTACAGATGGTCTTACTGGACATTTACAGGAGGATGTACCTTGGTATATGCTTTTTGCTGATGATATCCTTCTCTTGGATAAGACGAGAGAAAAAGCCCAAGAAAAACTTGAATTATGGAGGTCTACATTGGAGTCTAAAAGCCTTCATTTGAGAAGAGTTAAAACTGCATACATGGAATGTAATTTTAGTAGTAGTAGCTCTAGTGATAGAAGTATCTTTGGGTAATTAAATTATTAAAAGGTGTGAAAGATTTAGATATCTCGGATTTTTTGTTCAAAGCAATGGTGATATAGTAGTAGCTCTAGAATGTTAATAGTAGGAGCTAAAACTGCATTGAGAAAAGCTAAAACTGCATACATGGAATGTAATTTTAGTAGTAGTAGCTCTAGTGATGTAGTAGCTCTAGTGATTAGCTCTAGTGATAGAAGTGTAACTTTGGGTAATCAAATTATTAAAAGGTGTGAAAGATTTAGATATCTCGGGTTTTTTGTTCAAAGCAATGGTGATATAGATGAGAATGTTAATAGTAAGATTCAAGTATTATGACAACATGATATTTTAAAATCACACTAACTTATAAATTTAAAACCACAATGACACGAAAATTTAAATTATAGCAAGGAGTAAGTTTAAATTATAATAATAAATAAATTTAAATCACAACAAAATGTACATCAAGGTCACAATGTAATGCAAATTGGAATTACAATAAGATGTAAA